TTGTCGTTTGATATCTCTATTGAACCGTTGGATGAAATCTTCGACTCGTCTGTTCAATTCCTCGTTCGACATCTTTGAGAACTCTTCTGATTCTTCTCTTACATTCTCCCACTTCTCCTCCGCCTCCTCAGCCTTCTTCTCATTGTGAACAACCACCCATTTCGAGCTATCCGATTTGCTTCGGTCGTAACTCTTATGTCTATGTTTGCTCTCTTTATGTCGACATTCCGAGCGTGCCTTATCCGATTTGCTTCTCCCGTACGGTTTAGGGTTAACCAGCTCTCTTGCGTTGCAAGTTTTTCCTTTAACATCAGTTATACGGATGTTTTGCTTAGTAGTTGGCTCGTGTTTTTCGATAGCTATGTTTCTCGGTTGGTTCTCGCTCACGACTCGTACGGTTTTCTCAGGAACTTCCGCTTCCTTGTGAAGCAAATACTGCGGTATATCTTTCACTCCCACTGCATGTTGTTGTCTCTCGCGGTTCTTGATTTCTTCCCCCATACTCACCCCATAGTCAGAATTTTCTCTTGCGTCGCTTCTCTTCGCAGCCATGTATTTTCCGTAATAATCGTGGTTCTCTTTATCAGTGAACGCACCGTAATCTGCGGCAATGATGAGGATAAGTGCGTTGGAGATAAAGAACAAGACCTTCGTGTCGTTGAAGATGGACGAAGGGGACACGTCGAGGACGTGGAAGATCAAAATGTAGGTAAAGACAAATACGAGGATCGGGAGCAACGAAGAGTACAAGTTGTATTGTTTCTTGGGCTTGTAAGACTCGAAATTAGGGTTTTCAACAACGTACGAGGGCATTTTTGTCATTTTGAGAGTGAGCTCGCGATGAGTTGGGCATTGAATTTGAGGGTGTAATGGATTTGCTCTTCGAAGGTCATGACCGGAGCTCCTTTATATTGTGTGAATTGTGATCATGAATCTGAATTATTGAACTTGATGAATTTCCTATTTTACCCTTGCCAAATACTATATCTTACTCGTGGATCTTGCCACGACTCGCGATTTGTCGTGTCTTGGTGATTTAACTTCGATTTACGTGGAAATAGTGCCCAATCATCTGCTGCAAGTATTATTCAATAATTAATATTCCATTTAATATGTGTATTACGATAGCTACAAAATTTAAATAATTGTTGGTCGATATTGGGTGATATAAGCAAATCGGAAAAACGTTCTAGGTCAAGGTACAGAGGCTTTGTACTGCAGAAACGTCGACACGTCATCATGTGACAATAACACAAATCCG